TAACAGATTCATTAACAAAACCAATTTCATTTAACAATCCTCTTAACCAAATGCTTTCTTTCACAGCACCACATGCAACAATGTACTCAGCATCTGTAGAGGACAATGCAACCAATTTTTGCAATTGAGATTTCCAACTAATGCAACTATTACACAAAGTAAAAATGTAAGATGATGTAGATCTTCTCCTATCAAGATCACCAGCAAAGTATGAATCAGTATAACCCTTTAAGATTATACCTTCATTAGTTCTTTTGAATTTTAATCCTAGGTCAATTGAACCTTTCAAGTACCTGAACATCCACTTTATTGCTAACCAGTGAGTTTCTCCAGGATTTGCCATAAACCTACTTAAAATACTGATTCCATGAGCTAAGTCAGGTTTGGTACAAACCATGAGGTACATGATGGATCCTTCAGCATTTCATATGTCAGTTCCAAGTCCAAATAAAAGAGGACGGATTTTATAACTTTACAATTATTTTTGAAAAAAAAAAAGAATTATCCTTACAAATTATGTCTTCATCATATTTCAGGGGATGAAAGTGACAATTGTGATTTTTCACAAAATAAATAAAATAATCGAATGCTTGCAATCCAGATATCAGGAATAAGCCGCCAGTTTGGGCTCGACTTAGCCCAGCCATAACACTCCAACATACCTCGGACCAATTGGAGATGATTGCTCTTCCATATTTAATTCTTGAAAATCTAAGACTTTAATGCTTGATTAGAGCATCTTCAATTGTATATGTGACAAACAAAATGGAAATGGAGAAAATAGCATATTTAAAAGCCATGTGGATTGTACTAATTGTGGTTACATGTACAACACATGTGTAGAGAAAGAGTGGAGATAAATTACAAAAAATTAAATAGACACATCATCTAATGAAGAGGAATAATGTAGGATTTAGTAGAACCGAGCTCCATGCACAGGAGCTTGGTTCACAGGGGGGTGCACAGACCCCCTCACTATAGGGGGTCAAGCCCCACAGCAATTTAAAAAAAAGATGAGGCTCGTCCCCACCTTCTCTCACATTTGACAGGGGCGTGAACCAGGCCCTGTACCTCCAACCTTTTTCAATTTAGTAAATGACCTCTATCACACTCTTCACAGATGGTGTCCTGGACATTGTCCACCCTTTTCTTGCAATGTAAGCATTTTGAGATGATATGACACATTTTTTGATATAATTCTGAGATTCTATGTGCTTACAAGAATAAAGTCACGAGTACAAAAAAATTTTAATAGAACTCATACCAATACTAATGTGGCAGATTTTTTTCCCATCTTCCAATGATGTCTCGCTATGTATTGTCTGTAACATTTTTCTGTCAAAAAATTATGTACCTATAACATTGTTCGTGCTTACAATCTTAAGACTATAAATCTAAACTATAGAGATGGAATTTCCTGTTTTGAAAATCAAGAAAAAATAATTTCAACCAGCTTTGATTTTTATCAAAGAAATTGCAAATGAGATGAAAACTATATGTATGTGATTCTAAGAAAACAATAATTTGATAAAACTTGTTGATGATGTAGAAATAGAATCCCCTACAAAAATATTATAGCCTCTATTTAATTTAAATAAAAGTCATTTTGTTAGTAAATTTTAATAAAAAATGATGTAATATGTGATTGAAAAAATTTATGTCTCATAAAATGTGTAGTTAAAAAAATTAATTATTGATTTTGACTTAAAATTTAATTTGAACTTTTAGCTGAACTAAACAAGGGCATAGAATATTTTACATGACTGAAAAAAGTAATGTCTTCACTTTCCATTAGGTTTGAGCAATCAGGAATATAGGAAATAACTTTCAAATTTTCGATAAATTTTAAGAAATTAAAATCATTGGATGAAAGTGTTTTAAGAGGGCATTGTTTTAAGAAAAAAATGTGTAGCGAATGTTTTAAATCTATTAAAAAAGTGCAACATGGTCCCAAACCTGTCAAAAATATATGTTAGAAGAACCTTTATATGATTCCGTCAAAAAATTCGTCAGTTGACCAAAGTCAATTGTTTGACCATAACTTAATCATCTTTTGAAAATGACGAAATGATCTTTTAATTTTAATTAATTAGAACAAAGAAATTTTGCAGTGGAGGTTCCAAACCTTACAAAAATGTGTAGTGCATCTCAAATCTTTAATAAATATGCATCGTGAGCATAACCCATACAACCCCATTCATAAAACGATCCTTCTCCGCTTAGTTGGTGAGTCTTATGATAATCACTGCTGCATGAGCTGCAACCATAGTAGCGCCAAATGGCACCACTGACTCAACTCATCCTCCTTTGCCAACCCAGTTTTACCATCCATAACTCAATTTCCTCTTAACAAGAACCCTTAAAAAAACTTGGAAGAAATAAATAAAGATAAACAAATTATATCAAAAACCATTAGTAGAGACATTGATAAAAAATTTGATGAACCGTTAGAGGCTCTTTCAGTATACATTTATTAAAGATTTGGGATTGCGATGCATATTTTTAAAAGCTTTGAAACCTTCAATGCAAATTCCCTTATTTTAGTGAATTGTGATTAAAAGACCATTTTGACATTTTTATAGATGATCAAAGCATGGTCAAAAGCTTGCATTTTGGTTCACTGACGAATTTTTGGACGAAAACTATCATGAGATTCTATCACACATTTTTGAAAGCTTTGGGACGTGTCTGCTACAATTTAAAAGTTTTGGACTGCATTGCACTTTTTTGAAAGGTGTGTGATCTTTTTTACGAATTTCTTTTGTTATAATTTTGAGAACATTCTTAAATATAATGGATTTTCCAAGTTAGATGGTTCAGATTTATTTTTAGAATTAAAAGGGTTAGGAAAAATTTTTCAAATGGGAAAAAGAATAGTTCAACGAAAATTCTTCATTACATAAAAAAGAGTCAATTCAGTTTCGAATGGAAATGCTTCCACTCTTTAAAAAAAATTGTTAACAATTTGAGTAATAATTGTATATGCGGAGAGGAATTTCAAAATTTAAGTTGATTAAGTGGTATTTGAGATCAACTATGTCCCAGGAAAAATTAGCTATAATGTCCACTGAACACTTGGATAAACTCGAGTATATGATGTGATCAATAGTTTTTGCAACTCAGA